AAAAAAAATTAAAAAATACTAGTTAAGCCATTTAGTGACCCGCCTCACTTGACCCAACCTGTTAAAAAATAATATTGACCCATTTTATTTTACCCATTCTCCTACCTTATTCCCTCACTTCTTGGTCTCTTTCTCCTTTCCTCCTTTGCATTTTTTTTTTCTTCTGGTTCTCCATTGCTGCCTCTTCTTATTCTTTTATCTATAAAGTTTGATAAAAATCCTATAGATTTATATACAAAATTATAATGTAATAATTAGTTCCTATAGGTTTTAATTATGACCCATTTCTCCTTTAATTCTTCAATTTCAAGTTCTATATTATGTAGGAAATTAAAGAAATCTGATTTAAAAAAGTCAAATTAAAAGAATATGATAATCAGAATAAAAATATGTGCTTTGGCCATATTCAACTCTTTTAACTTGTAATAATTTGCTTTTTGGTTGGAAGAATCATATGAACCAGAAGCTCCATAGAGCCTTAAGTAATTAAACTTGCGTTTACATGTCTCTCTTCAGACCACATTCACCTCTTTTTAGTGTTGTGATATTTATTTGTTGAGGAAGATGTAATCAAAGGGATTCCTTAATTAGTTTCCGAATAAATATTTGTATATCGAAACAAAACTCTAAAATACAAATTGAAATAAATATGTGCCAGTCCAAACCCATGCATTAGATTCCTTTAATTTCATATACTAGAAATTGAGATACCCAATTAAAACTCAACTAAAAGAAGAAGAATAGGCAGCAATGGAAAACTAGCAAAAATATTTTTAAAAAATAAAGGAGAAAGAGTCTGAAAAGAGAGTGGAATAAGGTAGGAGAATGGCAAAATAAAATGGGTCAATATTATATTTTTAACGGATCGGGTCAAGTGAAGCGGGTCACTAAATATTTTAAATGGTATTTTTTTTAAAAAAAAATTGGATTTTAAATAAAAATAATTATATCAGCAAATTTTAATTAAAATATCAATTAAATAGGTTGAGTGACTTTCTAAGAAAACAATTGATAGTTGAGTGACTTTTGAGTTAAAATTCAAAGTTGAGTGATTTTCAAAGAAAATAATGGATAGTTAAGTGACTTTTGAATTAAAATACAAAGTTGAGTCACTTTCTGAGAGAAGAGTAGATAGTTGAGTGACCATCTGAGATATTAACTCCTAATTCTCTTAAACGATGTAATAATTACAGATATTTCTAATTAAAAAAATCGTAGCTAATTCTTTTTTATATATATAGTAACAAGATTCAAATGATATGTTTTTACTTATATAACAGAAATTACATTAGAATTTAACAAAAATCGTAACAAAATATAAGATATCGTTGAACCAGTAGTACCATGTGTTGTAGAGTCAAGACTCAAGAGTGTATATTACTCTTACCAACCAAAAAGTTTCTAAATAGAATAGATTCTGATTTGTTATATATCTTTAATTAAGATCATAAGATATTTTTTAATTTTTATTTTATAAAACTAAACCTCATATTTAATTAAATTAAGACATATAAATTGAAACAGACAAATAAATATTACTTTATGGAATATGCGACAAAGGATTAGTGGTTGAGTAGAGTACTAAAAATGCCTAGGAATAAAGTATAAACAATAGTACTTTGCTTAACTTTTTTAAGGTTAGATTATAGAATTTAAAGGAACATAATAATATGCCCCTTATTAATAAACAACACTTGCTGAGTCATGTACTGCCTAATATTTTTCTAAAAAAACTTTTAGGGTATAATCCTATTAATAAAGAATAATAGTAGGTGCTTCCATTATTAGTTATTATTAAAAAAAGAAAAAAGAAAAGGTGCACACCAACTAATTTGAATTTAACTTATATATACTCATATAAGAGCAAACAAAATGTTTGCACTCATTGTAATTTAATATCGTTTTTGACTCTTATATTTCGTCATTATTTATAAGATACATACATTGATCATACGCTCTAACTTATCTGAACTTAACTTATATACATTAACAAATATTCATATACAAACATGTGTACTCATTTTCATGTTAATACCTTATTATCTTTTAGACGATCAAACATTGATTTCTTCTTTTGGTGAGAGGGGTGCTATTTCTTCTTTTCTTGTTCTATCATTATATATGTATATAGTCTTGTCTAGAATATAGTAGGTGGAGAATCTTGAATAGACCTTTTAGTAAATAATAATATGATAATGCTGCATCATAACTTTATTAATTGAAAATGTATTCTTATTAATTAATTACAATAATAAAGAAGATCAACTTGATCATATATTATATATATCCCTTTCTTCTCCAATATTTTGTATTTTCATCATCCATGGCCTCAACTACTAATTTCCTTTTCTTTTTTCTCTTTATCATCACTTTTATCTTCTTCTTATTTCTCCTTTCCTATTTTGTTAGACTAAAGTTTTTATGCAAATGTGAAATTTGTCAATGTTACATGACATCAAGTTGGTACCCTCAATTCACAAATTTATGTGATTGGTATACTCATCTTCTTCAAAAATCCCCTACTAGAACTATTCACATCCATGTTCTTGGTAACACCATCACCGCAAACCCTAAAAATGTTGAATACATGCTCAAAACAAGATTTGATAATTTTCCAAAAGGGAAAAATTTCTCAACTATCTTAGGTGATTTTCTTGGTAGAGGTATTTTCAATGTGGACGGAGATTTATGGCAATTTCAAAGGAAAATGGCTAGTCTTGAACTCAGACGAAGTTCAATAAGATCATTTGCATTTGAAGTAATGAACACTGAAATCCAAAATAGACTTATCCCATTATTAGCTTGTGTTGCTAATAATAAAGATAAGATTTTGGATTTACAAGATGTTTTTAGGAGATTTTCTTTTGATTGTATTTGTAGATTTTCCTTTGGATTAGATCCAAAGTGTTTGGAATTATCACTTCCAATTTCACAATTTGCTATTTCCTTTGACTTAGCTTCACAATTATCAGCTAAAAGAGCTATACATGTGTCTCCAATTGTATGGAAAATCAAGAGATTTTTCAACATAGGGAGTGAAAGGAAGTTGAAAAAAGCCATCAGATTGATCAACATACTAGCACAAGAAGTCATAAGGCAACGTCGAAAATTAGGGTTTTCGAATCATAAGGATCTTTTATCAAGATTCATGCAAGGGGATATCGTCAATGAGACATACTTAAAAGATATTGTGATTAGTTTCCTCTTAGCTGGACGAGACACGGTGGCATCTGCATCAACAAGCTTGTTTTGGCTACTCGCGGAGAATCCACGAGTAGCTGAGAGAATTAGAGATGAAGCAAATGAAGTTCTTGGACAAAATCAAGAACTCACAAGTTGTGAGCAATTGAGAGATCTTCATTATTTGCAAGCATGTGTTTATGAGAGTATGAGACTTTACCCTCCAATCCAATTTGATTCTAAGTTTTGTTTGGAAGATGATTTTTTACCTGATGGGACTTTTGTTAAAAAGGGAACTAGGGTTACTTATCATCCTTATGCTATGGGAAGAATGGAAGAATTATGGGGTGTCGATTGTTTAGAATTCAAGCCAGAGAGATGGATTAATAAAGACGGTGTTTTTTCCCAAGAAAACCCTTATAAGTATCCAGTTTTTCAAGCTGGGGTAAGGGTTTGTTTGGGTAAAGAAATGGCTCTTGTTGAGCTTAAAAGTATGGCTCTTTCATTCCTCCGACGATTTAACGTTGAATTAGCTCATCCATCACACCACATCCCTCGATTCTCTCCTGGCCTGACCGCCTCATTACGTGGCGGTTTGCCAGTGTTTGTGAGAGAAATTAAGAATACTACTTAATCTTGAAATTAAACTTGTTTTTGCTTGTTGAAAAATGTATGTAGTATCAATTTCATTCAATGTGATTCAACTTATTTATGCAACTTTTTTTATACATATATAGTTTCTAGCTATGAAGAATTTGTAGATGCTTCTCTTTGTAGTGTAGTCCTTAATTAATGGACTCAGTTAGCACTGAAGTTTTCTAGTACCCCAATTCCTCCGTCCCACTTCATGTGACACATCATTATGAATTCAAACACATAAATTACAAGTTATTTGAAACAGACTTTACATATTTAAAAAACTAAAATAAAAGTACTATAACACACTTTTAGTAATTACATTACAATTTATGAGTTCTCCCTCCTGGATTGATCTTCTGGAAGTAGCTTCTCTACTTTCTTGAATAGTGGATAATCTGCGTACGTTTTATCCTTCCTAAGGTACTTAACTCTTTTCTTTCGATTTATTCACATAATTGAAACTTAACTCTTGATTTTTTTTATTTATTTATTCCCGGAGCGATGTTATTCTTTAATGCAGTATTTATTTTAATACATTTTAAAAAAATTACATCACCATTATAATAAATCCAAAATCACATGAAAAACCATTATTTCAGCATGTGTTTTATGAATTTAAAAATAAAACACACACAATAGAGTAGTGTACATGTGGAGGGTAGTTTAATAATTTAGGCCATAAAAAGTCTTACTCCTATTAAATAAAAAACAATAGGACAACAGACAATTAATCTAATGTCCAACATAAAAAAAATAAAAGCAAGACAAAGCTATGCTTGTTAATTTTTATAGTTATAAAACTCAAAATTAAAAATGTTAGATTCTGGTTTTCTAAATTTATGTACGTACAATCAGTGACCTAATGTGGTGGTTCCCCCACAAAATTTAGTAAAATTTAAAAAAGTTATAATTATTTTTTTTAAAAATAATTAGAGATGCTTTATTGGAAGGATTCAAATGAATTTTCTAATCGTGGCATATGTCATTAAAAAAATGACCATGAGGGATATATAGATATAAAATAATTTAGTGAAAGCTAATTAGAGTTTCACGATCATCGAGAGAGTTGTGATGAAATAAGCTAATTAAAGCTTCGCAATCATCAAGCATTGTGATCGATGAAATAAGCTAATTAGCATTTTATGATTATTAAAATTGTGATGGGATGAACATAATTTGACTTAGCTTCACTATTATCAGCTAAAAGAGCTATGCATGTATCTTCAATTGTATGGAAAATCAAGAGATTTTTCAACATAGGGAGTGAAAGGAAGTTGAAAAAAGCCATCAAATTGATCAACATACTAGCACAAGAAGTCATAAGGCAACGTCGAAAATTAGGGTTTTCGAATCATAAGGATCTTCTATCAAGATTCTTGCAAGGGGATATCGTCAATGAGACATACTTAAGAGATATTGTGATTAGTTTCCTCTTAGCTGGACGAGACACGGTGGCATCTGCATCAACAAGCTTGTTTTGGCTACTCACGGAGAATCCACGAGTAGCTGAGAGAATTAGAGATGAAGCAAATGAAGTTCTTGGACAAAATCAAGAACTTACAAGTTGTGAACAATTGAGAGATCTTCATTATTTACAAGCATGTGTTTATGAGAGTATGAGACTTTACCCTCCAATCCAATTTGATTCTAAGTTTTGTTTGGAGGATGATTTTTTACCTGATGGGACTTTTGTTAAAAAGGGAACTAGGGTTACTTATCATCCTTATGCTATGGGAAGAATGGAAGAATTATGGGGAGTCAATTGTTTAGAATTCAAGCCAGAGAGATGGATTAATAAAGACGGTGTTTTTTTCCAAGAAAACCCTTTTAAGTATCTAGTTTTTCAAGCTGGGGTAAGGGTTTGTTTGGGTAAAGAAATGGCTCTTGTTGAGCTTAAAAGTATGACTCTTTCATTCCTCCGACGATTTCACGTCGAATTAGCTCATCCATCACACCACATTCTCTCCTGGTCTGACCGCCTCGTTTCGTGGCGGTTTGCCAGTATTTGTAAGGGAAATTAAGAGTACTACTTAATCTTGAAATTAAACTTGCTTTTGCCTGTTGACAAATGTAAGTTTTTTTTTCTCCATATAATTAAGGGCATAATATTTTTACCCTTTTGGCCAGAATTGGCTTTTTATGGGATATCATTATGATCAATTTCATTCAATTTGGTCCGACTATTTTTATTCCTTTCACTATTCTATAAAATATCTACCTAATTAGTGCATAAACTCAGTTTGATTAGTACATTAAATAATTTTATAATTTCTCTGCAGAGATTCAATCTGCAAGGGAAAAAGAAAATCGGAAGATTTAATCTTGCTATTAATTAATTAATCATACCACTTGTTAGATTATATTTAGTTGATATGAAAGCACGCATCAACAAACTAAGTTAGCATTTGACCGTAGATTTGAAGAGTAAATTGTGGAAATTTATCTTCAAATATCTATTAAGCCATAAAATTTATCTTCAAATATTTTTGAGTTTCCAAAAATTAACGGCCTCAAACCAATTTTTGAGTCTTTCATTCACAAAACTTAATTTTTTTCAAATAAAATATATGTTTAAACAAAACTTCAAAAACTCAATTTTTCTAATTCATAATCTATGACCAAACGGGAGTGAGCAAAGTTTGTGATTTGATAGCCAATTACGTCCTGAAGGCCCAACTTAGATATTAGCCCATTTAATAATGTAAACCTTAGCTATCCATATTTTGAAACTCATTTGCATTATTCATATATGGTAAAATTACGCGAAATGGCATACATTTAAAGTATATTATATAATATAGTTATAGTTTCGACTATTTTTAATTTATGGCTATAGTTTTGCAAAAAATTGCTATTCGAATTTCTACTTGTATAAATCCATAATTTGTATAATTCGGTCCCTAATTGTATAAATTTTGAATTTGTATAATTCGGTTCCTGATTAAATAAATCCAAAATTTGTATATGCTTACACCAACTATTTGTATACTATTTATGAAAAAATCATAATAAATTACCATGATTGTATATTGGCAAACGAAATATACAAATGGGGTTTTGAAAAAATGTTAAATGTATAAATATAGAATTTGTATATGTACTTACCCTATTTGTATATTCGCAAGCGAAATACGCAAACCGCGGCCTCGATTTGTATATACTTACCTTGTTTGTATACTTGCAAGCGAAATATACAAATCACAACCTCCATAGCAAACAAAACTATAATTATGGAGCACAGTTACCAAAACTATAACTATATAGCCTTATTATGTCTATTATTTTGCTATTTCTTATATTGTATCTTTATTTAGTTATTTATTTTGACTGAATTTGTAAACTATTTTTTTGGTATTTCACCCGGTGTTAGATATTTGAATTGGAGACCGACTAGATGTCCATTTGAATGGACTTATTTTAAGTGTTTTAAAGTCAAAATAACTTTTAAATTATTTTGAAGTGTTTGTAAAATTAAAAAGGGTTTATAAACATTTATTTTAAAGTCAAATAATAAAAATAAGTCAAAAATTATAAGTTATAAGTTGTGACTTATAAGTCATAAGCCGAAAGTCAATCTAAACATGTTCTAAGTTTCCTTCCTTATATAAATTACTTTCCAACAAACAAAGATGATACCAAAGGGACTCGAACTCGAGACTACCACTCAACCGCAACTTTTGTTAATAAAATATACGAAAAAGGGTCAAAATTGCCCCCGAACTATATGAAATAGACCATTTATATCCTTCGTTACATTTTGGGATAAAAAATGCTCTTGCTGTTGTTCTAAGAGACCACAAATACCCTCAAGAGTTAACACCCCAAATTTTTGTTGATGTGGCAAACCATGTGGGACTAATCCTTCCACCTAAGCGTTGCCAACTAGGATTCACTACAAAAGAACTAGACCTTTAGCGGCAACAACAGTCGCCACAAAAGCCCAGAAAATCGTCACTAAAAGTTTTTAACATTAAATTCTAATTTTATGTTTTTTTCTTCATTGTTTTTAAAAAACCAAATATGATATCGATTAAGTAGGAGTTTGAAGACACTATATGTTTTATTTTTATGTCATATGTGAATGTATAAAATGTACAATGATGCATTATATATATATAGTAGGAGATTTGAATCGAGAAGTAATTTTGATTATTTTTCGTAATAATATTGGATGTTTTTAATATGGATATTGCAAGTTATTTATTTTAGAAAATTAGGTTGCAATCGAAAATTAATTATCATATTTTTTATTGAAAAAATAGGTTTTACTAGCGAATAGTTGTTGGTGCCTTAGTCGCCACTAAAAATCACTCATAACCTTTAGTGGCAATATTTTGGGATTTTGTGGCGATTTTGTCGCCACTAAAAGTCAAGTTCTTTTGTAGTGAATCTTAGTTGACAATGCTTAGGTGGAGTGATTAATCCCATGTGGCTTGCCACATCACTAAAAAATTGGGGTGTCAACTCTTGAGGGTATTTGTGGTCTCCTGGGATAACTGCGGGGGTAGTTTTGATCCCAAAATGTAATGGAGGGTATAAGTGGTCTATTTCGTATAGTTCAGGGGCAATTTTGACATATTTCCGTAAAAATATATAAACTCTATTGCTTTGTTACATATTCAACAAAACGAGGGTTCGATCCCCCAGCAGCAAAAAAACCCCAAAATTCCCACGCCGATTCTGGCGCGCGCTCTTTTGTTACAGTTTAACACAAAAATCAACAACAGTCATGGAAACCGGCGACGATTTTTCAGTCGCCGCCGAATTGAAGCGTTGTAAGCAGAAGAGAAAATCACAACCAAAATCCAACAACAATGTTCCTGAATCTCCCGCCACCTCGCCGGAAAAAGTCGCCGGCGGCGAGTCTTCCTCCGGAATTCCAGTCTCATTGTTCGATTATTCAGTAGAGAATCACTTTAAAGCAGTTGATACAATTTCTAAGCTCACCGGTGTACCAGAAATTGACGATACTGATCGAACTGAGCTTAATCGCTTAGCTTCCTCCATCACATTCTTAACGTAAGTTGAAAAATAAAATTTCTTTTGAATTACTCAAACTGCATGAATTTTAACCAGTTTTATAAGATATATTTTTTCATTATAATACGAGTATAGTATTTCTTAGCTAGATTTCGAATATCAAAATTTTAAATGTTACAATAATCTGATTAAGTTTAGTTTCAAAAATTAGTCAAATTGATTTGAAATATGACAAGTAAAAGTGTTTTTTAAAGCTGAGATTAATAGCTTAGCTTCCTCCACTATCTAATGTAAGTCGAAAAATTGCTTTTTTCCTGCTCATATACGCTGAATTTTGAATTTTTTTGATGTAAATTATGTCGAGACATGCAGAGAATGGAGATATCTCAAGTACAAAACAAGAGAAGTTAAATTTGCTTGTGAGAATGAGAGTTCAAAAGGGAAAGATGTGATTGGTGAAATAAGTTTGCCTCAATTCTCTTCTGCGGAAGTTCCAAAGGTACATTTATTTGATATTTAGCTGAATTTTGATGTTTATTGTTTTTTCTGGACTTGGAATTAGTTCTGATGAGATTCGTTGATTTGTTGCAGAGGCAGTTGATGAATGAGCAGCCAGTTCCCAAAGAATCGAGGTAGGCAGAGTTGTCATTTTATTTTGTAAATACTTACATGAGATGAGTTTAAATGGAGTAACATGGTGTGACCTTGTGGTCATTGGTCTCTATGAAGTGGGTTGAGCACCGTGAGGTCTCAGTTAAGTTTCCAGCAAACACAAAAACATCTTTCCATGTGTTCTAGCCTTGATGGACAGGGTCAAAGTTACATAATTCAGATATTATAAGTTGGTGGGCGAGCAAGTTATGTCAGTGAATTGACTCGGATGTTCATGTTTCACCGTTCAATGCGGAGCCTTTATTGTACATTGTTATTCCATCAGTCAATTAAAAGTTATGATTGTGTTCTCTGATGTACTCTTTTATGTACCTTCTTGGTACTTTCCAATAAAATCTTTACCTTTCCTATGAAAAAAAAGGTATGATCTTGGTAAAGAACTACGTAGCCTCCACTTAATGGAAAGTCGGCTTAATGCATCCCACTGCTCTAAAGCTTTCTTTCTTTTCTATGTTTTACAAACGGTGCCTTTTTCTAGCGACCATTTCGGCCACTACTTGTGGCACCATGCCTCTTCTGGTGACAATTTTGTTTGGCAAAACTTTCTTTCCAATAGTTGTTTCAGAAGCACCTCCTCTTTTATCTGCAATTCTATCCATTGTTTCAGTGCCTTTTTTTAATCAAAAAACCCCTTCTTTTAACCAACAAATTTCAGATTACTGTTACAGAAGTCTGAATATTATCTTGCAATATTGTTTCAGATCACATGATGCACTGCGGTATGGTCCTTCAAATTGGCTTCAAGCTCTTGTCTATCTTCTGATTTTCCAGCTACTTGATTCACATAAAAGCAATGTGTCATCAACATATAGTATGTGGGAGATTGACAACTTGTTAATCCAGAATCTTTTTATCCATCCATTATCTGTTTCAGAAGTCTTCTTCTCTCCTTGTTTCATAGTACTAGAGTTGGTTATTGAATCTCTTTTCTGAACATTGAATTTTTGAAACTGTTTTTTCCTTTCTTGCTTTTTTCTCATTATTGTTGTGTTACAGATAGTGCTTATGATCTCTTAAAATTTTTTGGACTAGACTTTGCTGGGCTGTTGGTTACACACTGTTCAATTTATTTATAGATTTGTTTGCAAAATGATTTAGACTAGTGTCTACATTGTATCTTTTGCAGCAAAGATTTTGTGATGTATGTTGGAGGTCTAGCATGGGGGATGGACTGGTGTCCCCAAACTTATGAAAATAGGGATGCTCCTATCAAAAGTGAGGTAATGCTCTTATAAATCTACTTCTTGATCCTTTGTTTATTCTCCTCAAAAGAAAAGAAAATCAATGATGTCAAATGGACGAGTCTGTCTCATCTCCAATTCCTTTCCTTGTACCTTCTCTTCTGTTCTAGAGAGAATATTAATTGATGAACTGTTTATTGAAATTTGTCATTAAAACTTGACTATTATGAGAAGATATTCGGCATTCATTATTGTTTATTTGAGATGCAGTTGGTTACCACAGAGAATAAGAGCTAATCTTGATTTGTCAAGAAACATATTAAGGTAACAATGTAAGAGAAAATCTGGCTAAAGAGTGGGACAATGTACTGATAGGTCTTATCGTCGAGTTACAGTAGCACAGGGAATTTTGCTTGATTTGTCCCTGAACTGTTTGATTCTTCCTCTCTTCAATTGCTTTAAAAAGCTAATGGAAATGCAGCTGTTTTCGGTGTGTCATTTAATACGATGGCTTACTCATCAAAAGTTATTATGTCTTGAGCAGTATTAACGGCCCAATGGAATATCACAGAGGGGGAGAAGGAAATGGAATCAACTTAATCAGTGAAATGTAACTATTTTGGTGTTTATAAGTTTTACTCATTCTGTACCGAGTGTCTCATGTTGATTTTACTTTATCAAGCGTCACGTCTTTATCTGTTTTTTTCTTTTAAAAAAATAAATCAAGCACACTTACTCAGATATGATCCATATTGATTTCTTGCATTTTCAATTGATTCTGTAGTTTGTCGCAATTGCTCCTCATCCTCCTGATTCATCATATCACAAGACTGATGCCTCACTTACAGGCAGAGGTGTAATTCAGATATGGTGTCTGCCAGATCTCATTCAAAAAGATATAATTGTGAAAGAAGATTATTTTGCTCAGGTTAACCAAAAATCGTATCGAAATTTGACAAGAAGTGAAGCAGGTACGGGAGAAGTATCTGGACCTCAAAAACCAAGAGGAAGACCAAAAAAGAACCCTGGTAAAGCAGTCCAGGCAAAAGCATCTGGACCTCAAAAACCAAGAGGAAGACCAAGAAAGAAGCCTGTTACTGAATCTTTAGGTGATAGAGATTGTGAAGACCACAGTTTACAACCTCTTGCTATAGAGTGCTCGCTGCAATCAACAGAACTTTCTGAAGATTTGTCCTGCGGAAATATGAATAAAGCCCAAGTAGATATTGCGCTAAGTCAAGAAAGATGTATTAATGCGGCATCTCTAGATTCTCCGTTTACTGCTGCAACAAGGAGAGGAGTGAGAAACAAGGCAACATTGAAAGGTCAAACTGAGAATTCTGGTGTGATTCCGCTAACACAAGATGTTGCTGAAGAGTCTCCAGCTGTGAGCTCCCAGGCATATACTAGCAATCGTCTTGTATCAGCAGGGTCCAGTGAGAGTGGTGCCTCCACAAAGAGAAGAAAAAAAGAAAAAGAAAGAATGGAAAACCAAACTCATAATCCTACCTTGCCCTTGCCAATGCTAACACAAGATGTGCATGAAGAATCTCCCAACACGTCCCAATCACCTGAGAGCCATGGCATTCATTCCTCACAGTTTGATGAGAATGGTTCTGATATAATGCAGGACATACCAACGGATGTTTCTCTACCTAGAATGGTGTTGTGCTTAGCTCACAATGGAAAAATAGCACGGGATATTAAATGGAGGCCTTTAAATCACTATGATGTCTCCAGACACAGAATGGGTTATCTTGCTGTGATACTGGGAAATGGAGCTTTAGAAGTGTAAGCTCTCCCTTTAAACTTTCTCTCTCTTATATATAACTTTCATGGAAAATCTATTTTGCTCTGGATTCCTGGTGGGATTTAGAACAGAATGAATCCACTTGATGCAATTAGTTTGTCAGTAACACCTTAGTTTTGAAATTGGAAATATCTAAGGCCACCGATTTTATAACCTATTAAGAGCTTCAAATGATGAGAGTGAAGCACAAGGCAATTAGTTTTTCAGTAACACCTTAGTTCTCCGTTTATTGCTGCAACGAGGAGAGGAGTGAGAAACAAGGCAACATTGAAAGGCCACAGATCTTCATATAAAATTTGAGTTAAAGTCCATATTTTATGCTGTGATCTTTTTATATGGCTGAAGACTTGGAAATTTCACTTTTGATGGATTTCCATAGTTTTGGAGGACAAAAGTAGAATAGGATTCCTCCTAAAGTCAATTACTTTGTAAGCTGCAGTAGTCTAGTCCATTTTGATTATTACTTAGATGCATGGATGTTGAATAGCACCAAGAAGGCTCAACTTGGAGTTATTTCTTAAATGTTTGAAGGCCTTAAAAGTATTGGCCTGAGGAAATGACTTTGATTCAGTTATTCCTCTATCTCCATGAAATGGACCAATTTATTAGTCATAAATGGAAGTATAGTCAGTCATGATTGTTTTCATACCTTGTTCTTCCTCATTGTTACTTCTTTTAGTTTTGTACAGCTTCTTGCATTCTGCCTTTCTCCCACCATAAATGCCTGGTCGTCTATGTTTATTGATTAGGCAATCTCATAACCCTTATCATCTAATGCAGGTGGGAGGTTCCTTTTCCTCATACAATTAAAGCTATTTATCCTTCCGTTCAAAAGAAGGGTACTGACCCCCGTTTCCTGAAATTACAACCGGTATTCAGATGTTCAATGCTTAAGGGCTGTGATGAGCAAAGGTAGTTTAGTGCTCAGAGTTCAATTGCTCTTTCTGTTCTGTTTGACGGTTCAAAATGTTTTTGCTGTGACATATGTACTATGATTTGTACATATGATTTTTAAAGAAGTTTTACTTTCTGCATTTGCGTTCCTTTCTTTATGACTTGTAGACTGTGAACAATCTTTGTCTTGTTGAAGCTGGGATTATGAGTCATGTGGTGAACTAAGATGAGGAAAATTCTTGGAACAGTACCATTCAAATAGATTTTCATGATTCAGCTTAGTGATGGATATGGGGTTGTAGACTTTAAAGTTCACACTTATACAAGTGTTAAACTTCACAGTAGACGAGCAGCATCTCTCTGTATTGGTTGAGCATTATGCACTCTTAACTTTGTCATCTTGTATGATATGTGCATAACCATATTTGCTAGTAGTTCCACTCCCCAAGAACTTTATTCTTACAAAACCCTTATTGGATATTGGGCATGACAGCTTCTTAACTTTTAAATTGTTTGTATTACAAGTTTAACATTTTCCTTAGGGTGCAACTTGTTTATTACTGTTAAGCTTATTCTCTTTCTACATGATCTTTCAATCTCTCTTAAATTAACCTCTCTTGTTGTTTCTATCTCTCTTGTAGCATTCCGTTAACAGTGGAGTGGTCTGCTTCACCTCCGCATGATATGATTCTCTGTGGATGTCATGATGGAGTGGTACTGGTTCTAATTTAATTTTCTTCTTGTTTCCCTTTGTTTTTTCAAAATAGTCCTACAGGCAATGGTTAATTCAGTTGCATCCCTGAACGAAGTACCTGTTTCAAATGTTAATTGTTAGAGTCTGTTTGTCCGACATGTCTTGAACTTATTTGATACACTTGAAGCCATGCTGCTGCAAAGCATAACAATCTCATTGTCTCTAACCAGTATCTTGTTCATGTGAAATGCATTTTGAGTACTTACAAAATGTTAAGAGTGAGTCTGCTAGACTTTTACTATTTAGCATTGTAAAACTGATAGGTGCTTTTGGATAGGTTGCCTTGTGGAAGTTTTCAGCCAATAATTCATCTAAAGGTATTAATTAACTTCTGTATTGTGCTTTTCTTTGGTTTCATGAGTTTCAACTTAGTGAGGTGGCAATTTTGTTTGGTTAATCCTCTTTTAACTTGTTCTAGTTATGCGACATAACTTGAATGCTGTTTTGTTTTTGAAGTTTGAGTCACATCCTTCTTCACAAAAGACTTTTCTCAAGTCATATAATAGTGCTTTTTTGTACAGTTGTGATTTCATGTTACAGTCCTTTTGCCTGCAGACACGAGGCCTTTGCTTTGCTTCAGGGCAGATACAGGTCGTATTCGGGCGCTTTCCTGGGCACCATTGGAAAGGTTTGTTGTGCTAAACTTATTAGAGGTCATTTCCAAAAGCAATCTATATGGTAACTTCTCTAAAATAAAGGCCATGTTGCTTTTAGGTTTTCATAAAGCAGCATTAATTGCATTATCCTGTAATTGGTACAGTTTGTGTCTACTTAGTTATTTTGTGGCTTGCAATTTGTTTCAACATAGGTCGGACTATGAAAATTCTTGGGTGAATCAGAACGAAGGGGTTTGTTTTGATGTATCTTTCAGTGCCAACTATTTTTTTAATGGTTCAAGAATTTTAGTGTTTTTCAACAGTATGATTAACATAGTGAGTATGTAGTGACTGTCTAAGCTTCTCTTGTATTTTGTCTGGTTCACTGATTGGCCTACTTGATACAATGTTGTATGCAGTGATTCCGGGAATACAAATATTATCATCGTAGCTGGTGACAAGGGGCTGAAATTTTGGGACTTACGGTAATCTTGTTTCTCTATGCTTTATGTCCTCTGATAGTCTCTATCATTATGATTTTTTCCCTTGCTAATTATACCTTTTTATTTTCATCCTGCTGAAAGAAAAGCAAGAGCAGAAGAGGTACATAATGATTTGAAGTAATCCATACGCATTCTTCTGCATTTATTCCCACTCACAGCCCTCTTAGTCTCTTGAGCGTCAATGCGTTTTCAATAAAAGAGTTGCAAGTTTTTTTTTTCTTTTCCATGATTCATTGTGTGTCCTTTTTCTCTTGAAGAGAAATTATGTTTGATTTTGATTAGTTTGTATCTAAGTTGCGTAGACTCTTCACTTTTGATGCCGCACCTGTGTCGACACGACATGGGTGTGGGTGTGGGATCCGTGTCCAATTTGGTCAACCGATTTTGGGTACTTTAACCAAAATCGATGAGGAAAGTCCGGAGAGTTTTAATGATTTTTGTAGTCAATACAAAACCTAAGGTGAAATTGAAGAAAATGGAGTACCTTTTATATAGAAACTTCTATGTCACTCCTTTTCCTTTAATCTCATTCCAAGATTCTCTTCAAGTTCTCCTCATAATATCTCATTATTTGGGTTTTATAACTCTATTTTTAGATATTTTAATTATTTTTAGGCGAATCCTCATACCCGTATCCATAAATGGATCCATATCCCCGAATCTTAAAAATTAGATCATAAAGGATCTGACCTCTGGATCCGCACCCGAGTCCGAGCAACTTAGGTTTTTGTATATGTATATATATATATATATATATATAAATATGTGTGTGTGTGTGTGTGTTTAAGCTTTATTCTGCATTATATGTTAAGTCCCAGGGCTCATCATACTTTTGTGAACTATACATAGTGCGGGATCAAGCAGTATTCAGCAATGGAATATGGCATGTTTTATATTGCTTTGCTGTAGTTTCTTATGAAAACCCATTATTTGGTTATATGCTCATGCACTGATAATTTTTATGGACTACCGACTGTTAGAAAATTGTTTATCCTCAGATTGTGAGGGTATGAAGGGTACTTTCATGTTCCTTTGCTACATTGTATCATAAGGCAGACATCGTTACAACTTAGTGGTCAACTCTGCTATACGAAATCTGCAGTTGGATTGATTTTGTAATGGGACTTTCAAGCAATATTTAGGTTGCAAAGCCCATGCCAGTTGCTTGTTGTATTTGCCTTTATAAATGTGTGTGTGTGTATATATATATTTACGTATCTTTTTTTCTTTTTCTTAATATCCTACCCTACCTTGTATTTCTAACAGGGATCCCTTCCGTCCGTTCCGGGAGTATCATGTAGGCTCGGGAGTTCATATATGCAGTGTGGACTGGTTGCCAGAGCCAAGGTATGAGCATATCCTGCTAATGAATTTGATTTAGATATCTACTTTTCACGTCTTTCTCTCAAATTGTATTTGTTAATGTTCATAGATTTATTGTAATATCATGTGACGATGGGACACTAAAGATCCTTGGCTTGCCGAAGGCTGCATATGATGCACCTGTCACAGGAAACTTTTTAGCTGGAACCAAACAACAGGGATTTCATAGTTTCACTCGGTCTCTACTTGGGATATGGAGTGTGCAAGCTTCTCGAGTAACAGGTTTCAACTTTTCAAATATCTATTATCTTTTCCATCTGCAAAGATCTTACTTCTTACATAGATTTAAGTAGTATCAAAATGAGATGTTCATGAGTGATCAAATAAGCGTTTGCATTATGACTCTGAATTTTTGTGGGAAAACAAGGGGCAGCATATACTGATTCATGACCTTTCTGTTTACAACTTGCACCTTTTGTTCTAGCTAAGGGGAACTTGGGGGGGTGGGGTAGAAGAGAAGGGTATGCAGTCTTAACTTTCTATGCATTATGGCACAACTTGGAAGACAATGAAGGATCAGCTTAATTATAAGGCATCAGGTGTTGTGGGTGGGGGCATTGTGCGACTGGAATACATATTTGATATCGATAGATAAAGTTACATTTTCCTTGAATTCTAACTTATATGCTTGTTTAAACTTTTTTGCGAGTTCTAGGCATGGTTGCATACTGTGGGGTAGATGGTACAGCTGCTCGGTTTCAGGTGTGTACTGGTTAAGATGATTTTTGTTAAGTCTGTTCTTTTTATGGTTTTTCCTGCTATATTTTTCGTTGTATTGAGATATTCAGAAGGGTCTGGTTGACATTGTTACCGTGATCATAGATATCTGGAAAAGGGATAGAAAAGTTATACTAAAGAAGTTTATGGTAAAACATAATGAAATCTATACAGTTCCCTTGAGGAGGACATTTCAAAAGATAAATTGTCCATTGACACTGACATCCATGCTTTCATTTAACTAGCCTGGAACTACAATATTTCTCCATGTAGTACCATAATCTGCCTTTTCTTTCTTCCTTTTAGTTAAAATTTAACCCCTACAATCCCGTCATGAATCCCTTCTTCTCATTGGTATGAGAGCACAGTAACTATATGATTTATGTTAACTGTAAAAAGGTCTGTTAAAGATTCCGTTTCAATCCCTTGCTGCCTTAGTTCTAACACAAAATGCAGACTTCGTATCAGTATAACCATGTTCAGAATTTCTTACTTATCAAAAAAAAAAAGTTCAGGATACTGTATATCAAGAATCCCATTATCGTCTAATGTTTTGATTTCCACTGTACCCATCAATACACATGAAAATGAAAGAAAGATATGGTAAAATCTGAGCTTACAACATGCATTTATGCATTCTCTCTTGAATAACGACTGGTCTCCTCTGCAACTTTTAACCACTCGTCCAATTCCCCTATGTATAAGCCACATTTAGTTACAAATCCTTTCAACATCACAAAGTCAACAAGCCTTTCTCTGTTTATTCTCTCTGTATATATATATCACTTCGATTATTTTCCTTAATGTGCTCATATGCTCTAATGGCACAGCTTTTTTGGCATATTTTAACTCTTCCAGTTTCGAACCCTTGATTTATCACCCTCCAAACGTCTTAGAAATTTTTGTTTCAAGTTTCTCTTGATATATACCTATAAAAAAAAGGTTTCTCCACTCTTATATTTAAAGAAGACAAGTCCAAAATGAGAGTCTGCACAATCAATAAAGCACTCGATGAGTATGAAAATGCATGATGGTACGCCCAACATTAACCTCACATTTTGTGTAAAATATTCAAATGCTTCACTCTCTCAATACAATCTGCTAGCTTTAACAGCTGCAGTGACCATGTTTCTCATTCGGCAGCCTGGTCTCTCGACTATTCAATGTAGCCTCGTACATTCAGTGGTACTTTTCTTGAATGATGATATGCTTGGCATGATTTCCTTCAAGTATGTATTATGTTAGATGTAAACGTTATGCTTGTCCAATCAGAGACCTTATTCATATTATCATTATACTCAGATTGCTAGCAAAATGTATAATGATCCCATGAGAACTCGTGCACCACATTTTCTCTGTGGATCATTTTCCGAGGATGAATCAGGTATTAGCGTCGTTACTCCAGTGCCAAATACTCCCTTCCGAATGATCTACTCAGGGAAACAATGGCGTGATGCTATCCCGAGATCTCCTCATGGTCAGGATAAACGAGTGATAGAGCAATCAGATGAACAACCCCTGGGTAACATATTGAACTGCTCTACTGATTTTCATTTTACCAATTTTGCTACCTCAATTATAACTCCGCGATACCCATTCTGAGTATGGTTGCGTCTTTTCACCTTGCAGCTCTATGTTACGGCAATGATCCAAACGTTGAAGGAGGATCCGATGACGAGTTAGCATCTCAAACATCCAAAACAAAAACAAAATCCACGAGCCAGAAACCGGAAGCTGCTGAAGAAGAAGCAACACGATCGAGAGAGAAATTTGAAAAGTTACCTCCCAAAATTTTGTCGATCCACCGGATAAGATGGAATATGAACAAAGGCAGTGAGAGATGGCTATGCTACGGAGGAGCTGCGGGGCTGGTACGCTGTCAACAGATTGATTTATAGACTGTTTGAGTAACTAACTACAAGGGGAGGATGTAGATTGTAAGCTTGAATTAGTATTAGTATTAGTATTAAGTTATCCCCTTGTGTTGTGTGTATATTAGCAATTTCAAAAGAATTATTTGGAGTTTATTGAGCATTCAATATTTATAAACTTTAAAGGTGTGGAATTATTTGGAGTTTATTGAGCATTCAATATTTATAAACTTTAAAGGTGTGGAGGACACGTATTAAGGATTAGTAGGTTAGTGGGTAGCACAAGATTGTCTTACTGGTGGTTAGTGTTTGCCATCGTACTAGTTGTTTTATTGTAGTTCTTGTTTTTAATATATAGTATTGTTCATTCTTGTTTTCAATAATATGTCCTAGTATGTTGTTTATTGATTATCACACTATTCTATTGTTATCTTTGTTTCTTTCTGGTAAACTTTGCACCGTTTTGTTGTTACTATTTATTATCTTTTCTTCACTGTCTCCTTTTACTTTACTTGAGTTGAGAGGGTCTTTAGGAAACAGTCTCTCTACCTCTACGAGGTAATGATAATATTTGCAAACATTTACCCTTTCAGATCCCACTTGTGGATTTTCACTGGATATATTGTTATTGTTATGTATATTAGCAATTTCAAGAAAAGTATGGTTATGACTTATCGATGTAGTTTGTTATAAACTCAACAACATACCCAATGTAATTTAAATTCTACGAGTGGGGTGTAAAAAAGGTAAAGATAGTAACAGATAACTTATTGATAAAAACGAGCAGTAGAAAAATATTCACTCTCAAGAATTGCTTCTAATCGCCCCTCTTTTGATACTTAAGTACACAATTCAAAGAAATATAATCACCATAAATGATGCATATATAATTATTATTCATTCAATGCATAATTATCCGATAAACTCTTGATTTACCCAAAAAAATCAGTTTAGAAAGTGTCATTATAATATACCATTATTATTGTAGAAGGACACTATTATAAAGAGGTATTTAAACTCATAACATAAATTATATTCACAATAATCGATCAAGCAATATTATCACACGATTCATATATGCGACACAACTTTTCTTTTATGTCCCTTTAAAAAAAACTTACCTTTTTGTAATTAAAAATAACTACATATTTTAGCCATAATAAAAAAATTTATAACCACAGTAAGACTTTTTTTTTTTTTTTTTTTGGAATATGCACTATCAAAACTTAAAATTAACCATCAACACAAATTTGGAAAATAAAAAAGGGGTTAGTAATTAATATAAACTAGGAAATATTTAAAACCCAATAATTATTCTTCCTTTTTTTCAACCTTCCGTCTCCCAGTTATTCACGAACTCCCACTCCTAAATTAATTAAAATAAAAAAAACTTACACAAAAAAAGGGAAAAAAAAATCCCTATATATACCCCCTATAGAAAACAAATCTCTCAAATAATAGAAAAACTCTTTTCTCTCTTTTTGTTAAAAATAAAAACAAATACACAAAAATAATAATAATGGCTTCTTCACAAGCCGCTCTTCTCCTCCAAAAACAGCTGAAAGACCTAAACCGTCATCCGGTCGACGGCTTCTCCGCCGGTTTAGTCGACGAGAACAACGTTTTTGAATGGAGTATCTCAATCATCGGTCCACCGGAAACTTTATTCGACGGAGGATTTTTCAACGCTACAATGAGTTTTCCGACGGATTATCCTAACAATCCACCGACGGTGAAATTCACAACGGAGATCTGGCATCCGAATGTTTATTCTGACGGTAGGGTTTGTATATCGATTCTTCATCCACCAGGTGATGATCCGAATCATTATGAGCTGGCGAGTGAGCGGTGGACGCCGGTGCATACGGTGGAGAGTATTATGCTGAGTATAATTTCGATGCTTACGAGTCCGAATGATGAATCGCCGGCGAATGTTGATGCGGCTAAGGAATGGAGGGATAATAGGGCGGAATTTGTGAAGAAGGTGAAGAGATGCGTGAGGAAATCACAAGAGATGTTGTGAGCAAAAGCTTTACTTTACTTTTAACTTGCAAGGAACTTTTTTTTAGAACTATTTTACTTTTTTGGTATCTAAATTAACAAAATTGGCTAAAAGCTTATTAGATTGTGTTTTGATATTGTTGAATTATAGTTTTGCTTTTCTGCAATTTTAATTGCTTATTTATTTGAAAGTCGAATTGAAATCCTGAATTGGCCTCTAAACAGGGGATATCAAAAACTTATTATTCTCATATATCTGTGCCTTAAGGACATTGAAAATCAAATTTTGAATTCGAGTTTTATGTTTGTTGATTCGACATTTAGTTACTTTGATGTTTGATCATGAATGATGCCAAGCATAAGATTATTATTGTGTTGCTAGATACATTGAGCTGTGTTGTTGAAATCTAGATCTTGGTGATTGTGTTCTTTAACATATTCAGCTTCCCAAATAGATGTATAGCCAAAATTATCATTTGAATTAGTTGTCCATATCGGAAAATCAGGCGAGTCATTAGGAAGGCATTGTTTAATCGATCCTCTACTGGATTATGTTATCAACCTCCTTTGGCTTCTCTAGATGTTGGCAACTTCTTTCTGCAAAGTGAAATCTTTTGGAATTCATGAACTTTGTCTGTATGTATGTAACCTTTTGTTCTGATCTGCTGCTATCATAACTTAGCACCAAAACTTTCTACAGTATATCATGTGTAGCTCCTTCTGCAGTAGGAAGGGTAGCACAGTTTGTGTTAGGCTATCCATTGATGTTAGCAAAAACTCACATTAGATAGTAGATGAACAGGAATAGCATTCAACGTTTGTTTTATGAGAATCATTTTTTCTTCGATAGTTGATTCGTTCTACTGTCATAAGCTGAGAAATTTTCATGTCTGTGAAATATTGATGTCTAAGTAACCTTACTGGTAGAAATCTGCTTCTATTTTGGTTCTCTTCTGATTGGATCCCATACTGAGTCCATTAAACTTGTTGTCCTATCAAACTTGTACCAATCTAAGATAATAAGTTCATGAGCTTGGTCTTACGGAAAGAAATCTTCTATCTCCAAGCTTAACTCAGACTCAGACGCGGCTTCCTTCTTTTTTTGGGGTCTTGATACATTTTCTATCTCCAAGCTTAACTCAGACATAGCTCCCTTCTTTTTGTTTTTGGGTGGTAAAGCAATCAAACCAAAAAAAATACCAAGCAATTTGTATTAGTTCTCCGTGAAAAGGGGGTGATCCAAGTTACATTGTTACGACTTCACCCCAATCACTAGCCCGGCTTGGGTATGTCCAACTACCATAGTGTGATGGCAAGGCCTGGGAATGAATTCACCGCACCCTATGACTGACCGGCGATTATAGAATTTCCCTGTTTAACACCTCTTTCTGATTTATAAAATTCATGTCATTTATCATTAATAAAATAACAATGTACCTGCATATTGTTGGACAATAAACTCCAAATAATATGTATCCATCTTGATCAAATTCCATTTTCATCATGACTGCACAAATAAGATGAACCCATCACAAGCTTAACTCAGATGAACCTAACATATTAATAATTAAAATAAAAACATGTGCAGACATATGACAACTAGATGTTTTTTCTTACTATAAAATCAATTAATCTACCATTATTTTTATCTAATAAGATTACAAATATTAGTTTATAATTTTTCTAAAACTAACTTTTCTTTGTGTGGTTTAAACTTTAATGGAGTACTTCTTATCTTCATTATCAAAATATTAAATTCTCCACTGTCACCTATTATTATTATATATATACACAAAAAAAAAATTAAAGATCAAATAATGGAAGTATTAAAGTGCATTTCTTTTCTTCTCTTCAATTTTTGTATGCTTATTTCTCTAAGCAATGGATCAAATTCACATGAAAGAAAGGTACATGTAAATCCCTTTGTTTAGCCAATTATTTATCGATATTAGAGTCGAGAGTATTAAAAACAACTTTTTATGTTCACAAAAATAGATATAAAATCTATAGTATTTCTCATCCTCTTCACACATCACAGAATATATTGTTATAATAGTAATATGATTCACATGTACTCATCTAATTCTTTTTCATTGTCGTTTTTTCCAAATAAATTGGTTAAAAATAATATCGTTTTGGAAAACTAAAAAGGTATTAATTGCATGTTTTTATAGTCAAATCTACCCGTCCTCTAATAAATGAGAGATATTAATCTCTCTCTCTCTCTCACACACATATATATATATCTATATGATTTTTTAAGAAATAAAGTGTAATTTAATCAAATAATCCTTATGTTATTAAATGATTTTTATGGGTGCCAAAACCTTAAAATAATATTTAAAAAGGGAGAGGGAGAAAAGTTTCAACTTTGTTATGATAGATATTTCATCCTGATTGGTTAAATCTGCTTTAATGACTACTATTTTCCTTAACCGTTTCAATTTATGTGACATATTTTGATTGAACATCAAATTAAAATAAAAATTGAAACTTTTGGATCTTACATGTATCAAACATTTAAGTGATTGTGAGATTTATAAAATGTTTTGATTTTAAACATTGAATTAATAACATTTGTGTGGTTATAAGAAATCGACAATCATTAAGGATAAAATGAAGGTTCAAGTTAAATCGTTTTCAAATTTAGAAAGGTATATCCGTCTTATTTAAATGGAATGATAAAGGAATTGTGACATTCTTTTTGAACAAAAAAATTTATATATATCTTACATCGCACGTAGTATTTGTGTTTGAAATACTACTTTTGAATAAAAGAAGTGATATGACATTGTTTCACCAAATCTTATAGATGTGTGAGAAAATATATTTTCTTTCGAAACATACATACATTACATATATACATACTCAATAAGTTGACGCTACTTAAAAAAAACATAGAGTAAATAATAGTTTGAAATTAAGCTGGAAGTAGAGCCTTAAATTGAACATATTCTTACATAAAAATCACTTAATATAAAAATGACAGTTACTTACATAAAATTCTGTGACATCTCATGTTTCTATAGAATTGTATAATATAATGTTTCAACTCTTCTCAATAATGGTCATATTGTAGTGCATACTAATGTTTACAAATCTAACCACTTTTGACTCATTTAAATTCTGACCAAACTTACATTTTATTTTTTTCAATCGTCGTGAAACCGAGT